AATGAGACATGATTTGCATGTTATTAATGGAATTTTGTTTAAGAATTGCCAAATTGTTATACCACAGAGCTTGCGAAAGGATATGTTGACACGTATTCACGAAGAACATTTAGGTATAGAAAAGAGTAAGAGACGTGCGCGAGATGTGATTTGGTGGCCGGGAATGAGTGTTGAAATTGAGGTGCGTCCGACGATGTCTTTCGACGACGGCTCGCAGCCGTGCCAAAGACATCGCGCGGCGCCTCCACGAGAGCCACCCTTACCACATCCAATACCAGAACTACCTTGGGAGATGTTAGCTGCTGATATTTTCGAATTGAATAGATGTTTTAATTAGTGGTCGATTATTATTCTTAATTTGTAGAGGTCATGTCATTAAGTAATTTAAGAAGTGAAACTGTAATAAACAAGTTTAAATGTATTTTTTCAAGATTTGGTATTCCTAATAGGCTTATAACTGATAATGGAACGCAGTTTACATCTGCTGAATTTAAAAAGTTCGCAGACGATTGGGAATTCCTACATTTGACGAGCTCGCCGATGTATCCACGGTCTAATGGTCTAGCGGAGAGAAATGTGCAAACAATTAAACGGCTCTTGAAAAAAGCCACTGAAGATAAGACTGAGTGGACCTTGGCCTTACTAAATTTTAGAAATGCTAAAGTAACAGGAGAAAATTATTCGCCAGCTGAATTGCTCATGGGAAGATCACTAAGGACTCGGTTACCAACGGCTTCTACTACTCTTAGGCCACAACAAATTCGATTTAATGATTTTAGAAATAATCGACAAGGAAAGGAAACGAATGGAAGAAAGCGGAGATAGTTAAGAAGGCACAAGAACCAAGGTCATGTTGGGTAAAGTTAAGAACGGTGGTACATATCGTAGAAATAGGTCACACATTATAGATTCTAATAATCGTAATAGATCCAGTCTCAACAACTATGAATCTAATTAAAAAAGTAGGAATGATTCTTTTACACAGTCTTCGCAATCACAATATATAGGAGGACGAACAGGCAATGTATCGCATTATGTTACTCGTAGTGGTAGAGTTGTGCGACCACCAGCAAGGTATGGAGATTAGTAGTTAAAATTAGTGATACACATATTTGTTAATTCAGAAGTAGTAATGTTTTAGTTTATTTTATATTTGTGTTCATATATTCAGAATGTATGTAATAAAAAAAGCATTGCAAAAGGAGAGAGATGTCGTAGGAATAGTTTATATACATACTTACTTATATGCAACCTCTTTGGCTGTACATACAGTAAGTATTTAAAAGAATATGAATAAACGTCACTTTATGTGAGACATGCTAAAAATGGTTGTTTGATTTATTTAAAATATATTTCTTTAAAATATTACAAGTACCAAAGTGGTTGTTGTCCTTTACAACATTTTCCGTTTTCGTTGAATTATTGCCTGAAATGCTTCTGCAGCCAAGGAATACTCGCGTTTTGCAGCAATGGCTCAAAATCTGCCGTTCATGACCACCATCAAAATTTATATTGTCTCTCACCGCTGCTAAGTTGCTAGTTTTCTCGTATAAAAAATAACTTTAAGACGAACCAATAGCATATAATATATTCCTACTTCTGTGTTTTCTATCTTCATTATTAATATTTCGTCCACTATGTGTCGAAATTTACTTTAGAAAACATTTGAAGGAAAGACAAGTTAGATGATGCAAACCATGTTCACATTAAAATTATATTACAAAAGTATCAAATTTATAGGGCGCAGTATAAGTTGTTAGTGAATTTTATAACCTCAACACTAACAGTGCTTGAAATTAGATGTAATATTGGATAATAACAAAAATGATGGTCACGGGAGTACAATTCATTTATTTTTCCATGTTTACTAACCTGCTAGCTTTGCTGTTTGACCGTTATCTTCGTATAACATCCTTCCCACTTGAAATATGGTCTTTCAGTTATGAACACAGACCAATAAGAGAACAAGTTGTTATGAAGAACTTAAAATGACTTGTACACAACCCTTTTTTAAACAGTCCTATTAGTTTTATATCTCGTAATGGTAAAACTAAAAAAATACTCGAATTAACACTTAAAACAAAATCACAATAAACATAATCTTAATATGAGAAAAGAAAGATCGAACCTAGACTTATTTTCTTCTGTAAAAAGAATGCTCTCTCAGTACAATTTATTGTCAAAGTCGACCGATATAGACATCTTCGCGGATACATTGAAGTGATAGGGATGTCGAAAGTTGAATAAAATATCGATATATCGATCTTTTAAAAAATATCAATATCGGCTTCGATATATCTCGAAAAAAAACATCGATATATCGGACCAATTTTCCCAAAAATATATTTAGGTCAGCCTAGCACAGTAATAATAGTTCAATACAAATTATAATTAAAGAAAGAATTATCAAAGTACCAAATTGCCGCTACACTACATGACAGTAGAGTATTTCACGAAATATGACACGCGATATAATAATGGAACGAAAATTATCTCCCTAAAAATAGACCCTATTTTCGAATGATGAAAATGATTGCAGGGCCTCTCAGGTAAATGATTACAGGGTCTGTTTCGTAAACAAGACTAGACAGTTTCACACTTTCACAGAATATAATGGAAATCAGCACAACCAATTCACCAGCGAAACAGATTTACAAATAATAGACAATACTAAATACAGCACAGATCATAGATATGTTGTATATCATTAATCTGAGATCCAGTTACGATTTTTCCAGATACGAATTTAGTAAGATCGTAATATGCCTCTAATAATTAAAAAAATATCGTTTTTGATACGAATTTCGATATAGGTTATTTTGTATCGATGTATTGATATATCGAATCAAAATATATAGGCAAAAAAAATCGATATATCGAACAAAAAATATCGATATATTTTCAACAAGCCTATGAAGAGAATAAAATCTTTATGTTTAGTTGTGCCCTCATAGTTTTTCATTAATTTATTTTATTATTGTTATTCATTTATTGACAATTTCAAATTTTATTTTTATTCAAAATTGCTTTGTATTAAAATTTATTGTGTATAGCTCAGTTTATTCAAATAATTATATAAACTGAGCTACCATACACTTTTTGACAGTAGTTTAGTGTTGTCCAGCAAAATCATTAGTTCCTAAGTTTCTCAAACATTCCTTTCATGACTTTATTGACAGGCTTAATAGTTTGTGTTAGCATTTTTAATTTCCATTTCGCTACTCTCTGGAGAAAGGAAACTATTTTAAGATTATTGCCATATTATTTTATTTCATTTCAGTTCAATTGAATAAAATTAATGATGAGTCTCTATCTGTGCCCTGTCTGTCCTGTCCCCCCACTTAGGGACACGATATCGAATAGAAAATATCGATACTGTACTCATGAGTAGTATCGGTAAAAAAGTATCGTACTCGTAAAAGTATCGATACTTCAAAGTATCGAGTACATTTCATAGGGCCTTATCGGAGCCTCTGTGGCCTGATGAGCAACCTCCCCCCCCCCTCGGTGTTAAAATAGAAAGAAAACAATCGAATTTTATTATAGTACGTATAATCAAAAACAAAAAAAGGACATGTAAATTCACAAATTGCTATATTATGTAATGAAAAAATAGCTGTGATTTCTGACACTAAAAAAGTGTTCATTAATATTACATTCATAATTAGGTACACTGGTGTCAATTCTGGCAGGATTCTCTAAACTTAAAACTAAATTTAACATCAGTCTGTCCTTTTCAGTTTGTATAGAGCTTGACAAAGATACACTGGTATCAATTCTGACATGATTCTCTAAACCTAAACTTAAATTTGACAACAGTGTATCCTTGTTATTCTCTATACAGCATGAAAAGGAGAGACTGATGTTAAATTTAGATTTAAGTTTAGAGAATCACGCCAGAATTGGCACCACTGTTGTCAAATTTAAGTTTAGCTTTAGAGAATCATGCCAGAATCGACATCGAACAAAAAGATCGAAATCTTAAACAATTTAAAAGTATGAAACTTTTCAGATTTATTTCAAATTAAACTTACTTTTCTTGAATTTTAATCATTAAAAAACATTATACCCACTTAAGTTAACTTGAATCTGACACGTAGTTAACGGCTGCCATTGGCATGCTTCACTCAAGATTATAATTATAGAAGAGGTTACGTCCATCTTTTTTTCAGGTGGTTTCAAATAGGTATACACAGCACAGGCAGAATAATAGTGTTACACTTGAATAAATCAAATACAGTCAAGCGAAAAGCACAATAAACGGCGAATCAATCACAGTTCCTAACAATATGGTCGCTAAGTAAATAACTATGAAACAAAACAAAGCGCAAAATAAACACAGTCACAGATTGGAAAGAATTTGAATATGTCAGTTACTGACTTTATAACAACGCAATAGGGCATTTGACAGTTTTAAAAATAAAGTGCCAAAATAACGAAAAAGATATTAGTTTTCTTATCTATTGTCACGTAACCCAAAACGCTTGGGATTGGCGGAGCCTAAAAGGACGTCACACGCAAGTAAAGTTCCGGTCAAAGTGACATTACATTGTTTGACGTTTTAATAACAGCCGTGTGACGTCACACACTAGTAAGACGCCATATTGCCCAGAGAAACGTTTTCGCGGCAACTTAAAAATTGAGTTTTTGATTTGGTTATTTTTACTGAAATACACGACAGAATGATGAATATCCACTTTTTACGGACTCCATAAACATTAGTCAATAACGTGAGATCGTTGCCTAAAACTTGTCAAATACCCTATGGAACGTTTTAGAAGGTTTGCTATGATTTAACAAGATGGCGTTGCCATCAATATGAGGCGCTTATCCAAAAATTTTAAAGGTATCGATACTTGCCAAAAGGTACTCATTTAGTAAAAGTATCGAATACAAAGTATCGAGTACAAAAGTATCGGTATCGAAAGGAAAAGTACTCGATACCACAAAGTATCGATACTTTTTTCGTGTCCCTACCCCCACTATTATATCAATGGCGTCACCGTCAATGACCCAGCCCGCTACGTGATTAGTTTCAACTGTATTGTATTTACAACTTTTTGAAGTAAAACTGTGACTTGGTATTTAATAATTTCAAAAGGTAAGTGTACTAAATTGCTATCCTTTTTACTTCGTTGTTCACCTAAGAAGTCTTATCATTTTCTCTGTTCCAAATCTTAATCGAAACAAAATGGACGTCAACTTATATTGTGGTGATTATGTAAAAATAGCTATCAGTTCCGAATTTGGGTCTCCGAATTTACCACGGAAGCGTTTCCGAAACACCTGCGAACTAATTTATCGGGTGCGTTATAGTCCTGGCATACCTGTCTTATTGCAAGGCGACGGTGTAGATTGGAATGCCAAACTGAGCTATTGGAGACAACTGGCCAACACACAGCCATTAGAAGTACCTTTCAATGCGGTTATTGAGTCAGCAATATCCGCATTTTGATTGACTGTGATTGACGCATTGTGATTTGGTTTTAGGATCCTAATTAGAAATATATGCTTTTGTTTTTTAAGTAAGTTCCACTGCCGTTTTTTCGACTTAATACGGCCCCAATAGTATTTTTTGTTGCTACGCGTTTGCATTGCGAGTGCTTATCGTAAAGGAAATTTAATAGCATTACAAACTATCTTCAGTTGAAGATCTTACAAAGATGGTGAATGTTGATGTAAACTTTAAAAGTGCACATTTTCCATGCTGTCATCAGAGGTTAAAACAGTATTCAAACTATTTTCTTATCAGTTCTGTTATTGATCATTATATTACTTAGTACATATTTTCTAAGAAAATGGTATGGAGTATCAATATTTTTTAATATTTGTTATGCTTTATGCGATTAACTGTAGGTATTTTTAATAATTATTATTTATTTTTTATACATAGAGTTGAATGAAAGAAATTGTAATTGCTCAAATTGTAATTAAGTAGATGCTTTCACTCTTTTGATATCAAAAATGTTGTAAACTTCTCTATTATTGTTGTTGTGTTATACTTAATGCCCTTAATATTATAGTTTTAATTCATACTTCAATGTCTGGTTATTAAAATAGTGGTAAATGAGTAATTTTCTTTATTGTATAAACATAAATAATTTTATTTACAATAATTGTGTATTTGTTACAGGCTTCCATTATTCAGACTGCTATGATTAGAGTAATACAACACGCATTACAAAGTTAAATTGACAGATTTGTTTTGAGATACCAAATAGCATAGCAAAATGCAGACTATCAAGTGTGTAGTGGTAGGTGACGGAGCAGTTGGTAAAACATGTCTGCTCATCAGCTACACGACAAACAAATTCCCTTCAGAATATGTGCCCACTGTCTTTGACAACTATGCTGTAACAGTCATGATTGGAGGAGAACCATACACTTTGGGTCTTTTTGATACTGCAGGTAATTATATTTGTTTCTTAGGTTTTCACGCACATCACTCATTAAATAAAACTAGTTTTTACGGGTTAATGCACGAAACTTTATTTATTTATTGATGTTTAGTAGCCTTTACAGGCTATGTCGTCAGAATTAAACTTTTATTTAATTTGTCGAGCTACCTTCGAGAGACTTATTGAGTGTTCGGTTATTTCAAACTCGAACAATGAAATAACCGAACGCTCAATAAGTCTCTCGAAGGTAGCTCGATAAATTAAATAAAAGTTTAATTCTGATGACATAGCCTGTAAAGGCTACGAAACGTCAATAAATAAATAAAGTTTTGTGCATTAACCTGTAAAAACTAGTTTTATGCAGGTAATTATACTGAGTATTCCTCAATACTACTATTGTGCATTTGGTTTCATTTACTTTAAATGTATTTTGTTGTTTACAGGACAGGAAGATTATGATAGACTGAGACCCCTGAGTTATCCCCAAACAGATGTTTTCCTTGTATGTTTCAGTGTGGTTAGCCCAAGTTCCTTTGAAAATGTCAAGGAAAAGGTAGGTACCTAACTAATGAATCAATATTATAGTTTTAGATAATAACATAGATTTATCATGTAAAATTGTAAAATATTGCTTTATTTTGAACCTATTTTATTTATCATGTTACTGCTGTTTGTGTTAATGTTTCTTTTTTGTTATGTAGTGGGTGCCTGAAATTACTCATCATCAGCAGAAAACACCATTTCTCCTAGTGGGAACACAAATAGACTTGCGAGATGATTCCACAACTATGGAGAAGTTAGCGAAAATAAAACAGAAGCCAGTGTCATTAGAGCAGGGAGAGAAACTTGCTAAAGAGCTCAAGGCAGTTAAATATGTTGAATGTTCTGCTCTTACACAGGTAACTTCATTTATTTTGTATATTTATCAATAATTATTTGTCTTGTGTAACCATGGCATGTTCAATTTCACTTGAGAGATTTGGTTAATTAGAGATTTTATTTTTAACTGTCAAGCTGAGTTGCAAATCATTAATGAAAACAGAATTTTTGAAGGGAACATTTCACTTTTTTACAGAAAGGGCTGAAAAATGTTTTCGATGAAGCAATATTGGCTGCCTTGGAGCCTCCAGAGCCAGTCAAGAAAAGGAGATGTGTACTCTTGTAATGCATGGGTTGGAACCGCAGCGGTTAGACGCGGCGCGCTGTATGCTGTATGGTATACCACCATAACAATGTAATGTTCAACTTATTTTTATAAATTTATAATTACTGAACATTATGGGCCATAAATAAAAATAATGAATATTACAATTGTTATAAACTGCGTCTCTAGCTCCGACATTTATAATATTCAGGCCTTGCAGTTTCCCATGTATTAATATTATTAATATCTAAAGGACAATTTATACTATGTCATTTGTCTTTTATATAAATTAACTACATATTTATATTTCAGCCGTTGGTACCTTTTATTATTAATTATGCATTTCACTTTAGTTGATGGGAAGGCACCAATGTTGTAATCCATGATTCTGTTATTATAATAATAGGTACTGAACTATTCAAATCGGACTATGAATTTGCCTAGAATGATTGCTGAATTGGAAGCAACTTTATGCACAACATTTGCTATGCACAGTGCGAGCTATGCATTTTTTATAATATTATTTGATAACCTTAATAAATTAATAATGTATTAATTTTGTAACGCCTGTCACTAATGACAGCCGTCCATACTTGTGTGTCATTTATAATTTCCATGTGTTCTTATAATATAATTAATTTCTTTTATTAAATTTACCTAATATAGTATTAAATAGATTTGAAATGAAATGTAATATTGGAGCAGTTTCAGAACACCAATTACTAATTTAGATTAGCATAATTATTTTCTAAAGTAAGTTTGGTAACCATATATTGAAAGTATAGTGGGAGAAGTTTATTGTGGTTACAGCACAGATTACGAGTTACATTGTGCTATGAGTTACAGTTTATATTATATAGAATTACTACCTACATACATTATAGCGTTTATTTTCACATTTTTAGATTACTATACAGTCATATCATACTTTATGCAATGTGATCAAAAACAAAATGAACATAATATTCTTGAAAATATGTAAACTTTGAAGCTACTAAAAACTACTACTACCAAAGTAATTTTCAAAACGAATCTGCTATGTTCAGATTATGTTATAAAAGTGTATTCCATACTTTTCTTTGTTCTGAATTCTCAAAGTTTAAAATTTCGTTTATTAATTTTAATTATGCCAAGTATATAACCTGCAGATATACTATGTATTGTATTTTTACATTGTCCATCAGTATTGGATGACCTGCAGGTTCAAATATATATCTGGTATTTGAACCTGCAGGTCATCCAACACTGATTTACAATGCATAAATACAATTCGTGCCCCCATAATGATGTAACAATATAACTTTTAATATCTGCCTTCATATTACATGCAAATAATCATATCCATTCCAAGTTACCTTTGGCATTTCATTAAGTATTATATTTGAATTTGAGGAAGAAGTAATTGCAAACAGTTTTAAACGGCCACTCCGTAGTTGCACATAATGCGTGCATAAATACACACATCTAGTATCACATCCCAAAGCATAGACCCGGGAACTAATAACATCTTTCTTATCATGGCTTTCATTATGTGCCATTAGACACTGGCCAAGACATTTTTTTTAATATTTGTCAACTATTCATGCTTTGGATGTGTAATGTTATAACAAATTCTAGTAATAATAGAATGCACTAATATACCTCATACATATTCTAAAGATTTTGTATTTGTTTGGAACGAAGTTTTGTTCATTTTTGTAATTATAAGCAATAAAACTGATGAAATGGGTTGCCTTTAGTAGCTAGTTGCATTAATTTGGCTAATAAGATAAGAGGAATCAATAAGGCTACTTCAACTCTATATTGCTAACCAATTGTGATGCCTGGTGTGAGAGATTACGAAGTTTGGTCTATATAAATATGGAAATGTCGAGAAATGCGATCGGGAGCCTGCACCTCGTTTGTACGCAAAACAGCAAAACCAATTTGGAGTGGGTGCATTATTTAATGAACCCTATTTAGTAAGTATAAAATGACTTTTGTAGTGTATATAAATTATACTTTTTGTACTTCTTCCTTTTATACAGAAATGTGTGTAATAAACATTTTGAAATAATAATTGACCAACAAGTTTTTGGAATCCATATATTCGATAAAATAAAGCATTTTCTGCATTCAAAAAAAATCATTAGTTCTGTGTCTCTTTATGTATATACGAATTTGAATAGAAGTTCTGGTGTACTATTATTTATTTGTTTGTATTCTTGTAACTTACAATATGAGCGAATTATGTTCAAACCGTATGTTAATTATAATTGGATTTATTATATTTTCCTTGTGTCAGTAAGTAGTTTTAGGTGTATATTGCATTAATAAACCTAAGAACAAAAGGATGATGTATTATTTTTAATGTTACGTGTTTGGTTCCAACATTAATGAAGGGTCAATTCGCACTGGAATGGCAGCGACGCACAACGGTCCGGATTTTTCAAATAGTGGACTTAGCATCAAAGTTATAAATTTCAGCTATTAAAAAGTAATTGATAGTAAATTAAAAGCTGATTAATATTGTTGGATACTATTTTTCATGAAAATGACTCTTTCACACTGTAAAAAAATATTTCTAATCTATTTTATTTTTTTTCTTGTTAGGTTAGCAAAAGGTAGCTGTCAAACCTTATAATATGGTGGTGAGGGACTATTGACCTTGACCCAACAACACCAAAATTTTGTACGTATCCTTGCGGCCTTGGGGCCAACAAAAATTTAAAGATATTTATTTTCACACCTGTTCTTCCTCTTCTTATTTTACGCGTTTTCAATTAAAAATAATTTTGAATGTCTTATTTAATAACAAAACAAATCTTATTAAGTTCGCAATTAGACATATTGCTGGAGTATTTGTACTTAAATAAATTATGCAAGTAAGTTTATCATAAGCCACGTGATCATTGTTATCATTATTATTGTATACATTATTTATTGCACACAATGCACAGGGAATCTAGGTAGATTAGGCGCACTTAATGCTTATTATCACTCTCTACCAATCAACTATTAAGCATAAAAATATATTTTGTTTGGCTTCCCCTTCGGATAGATCTCTACAATGTTTTTTGTTTTGCTAGCGAAAAAATCCAAAAAAAAATATGGACCTTTTTCATATTCAGGTAAAAAAGTCGATCGCATGGGTCATTGTTGGTTAGTGCATTGTTATCGGCAGATGCGCAGGTAGATTTTTTACCTGGTTAGGCGGTTTATCACTATTTTGGTAGGTAGGCACCCTTCTATCGATAACACATTGTTTTGTTGACTCAAATACACTTCCCTCGTTACTCACTAGTTGCGCGAGATTATGCTACTACTAATAATGCAAGCAAATTTGCCCGCATTCGTTTCTCAACCCTTAAAGAAGCAACATCTAAAAACTTGTGCGTGGTAGTAACCTGAATTACGTAATGGCTAATTAGTAACGAACTTGGATATTTTTATGTTCCTTCGTAGTGAAGGTGATTTGAAAAATTGGGAAAATTTATAAGCAGTCAAGACCTTTTTGCAGAATACCGTCAAAAACCTACATCGCAGATGGACCAGTGCTTCCAGAAATCAGAAGACTCATCAACAGACATTCTGAGTGGTTAGAGTCAAATATTCAGTGGCCACATTGCTCCAGTGTAAATTATATATCAGAGGTTTTTCGCGGAATAGGTGAAGTTACCGAGAATATGTTAGAAGAAAATACCTCCGTTGACGTCTACATGGTGGCAATGGAAACAGCAGGAACATTAAGTACTAAGATATAGTACTAACCACATCTCTGTCCCAGATGGGCACATCTACCGAGACCCAGATTAGGAAGCCTTTTGCAGACCTCGGCAACAAATAGAAGAAAAGACGTTCAGAGTCCCTTCTGGACTATTCAACAGAAGAACTTAGTTTTGCATTAGCGACAAAGTTAAAAATCGACGAAAACAATGATTTAGCTCGTATTATTGATCATGTTACGAAGATTCCAGACAGTGTTGCTGTTGTTCAAACTGCATTGTTCGGAAACAAGAAAAAAAAACTTGATCAAGATCATGATGGTCTAGCCCTATATACATCATTAAATCTGTCTAAGTGGAAGTACTTGTGTTTAAGAATTGTGCTAGCTGATTATGGTGTACCTTATCTGCCCTCTTATCATAAACTACTTGAAACTAAGAACAACTGCTTTTCAGGGGACTTAGAAATAACTGAAAGTGAAATTTCAAGCATTATTGGATTTGACAGTCAAGAGAATTCTTCAAGTTGTTGGTGTACCAGTGAATTCATCAGTTGAGGGATTAAAGTTGATTAGCAAATTTGGCTTTGATGGAGCTTCTTCACAAAGCACCTACAAGCAAAGAAGTGAAGATGCAAACTTCGATGACTCATCAATTTTTATGGCAAGCCTTGTCCCCCTCAATCGGGGCACTATAATATGGGAAAATCCGAAGCCTTCTTCTACAACTTACGAATACATCAAGCGAGAAGAAGCTGCATTAAAAGAGGAGATAGATAACATCACATCAACGAAGTATGCAGGATTGGATATAGCTCATGATCTTCATATGACAATGATTGATGGTAAACTGGCCACTATTATTACGGATACAACTTCTCCATCAACCTGTACAATTTGTCTTGCGGAGCCAACTGAGATGAATAAGTTGCCAGAGATATTTTCAAGATCAGTTCGTGAAGATGTTTACAAATACGGGATTTCTTCTCTTCACATGTGGATCCGGTGCATGGAATATATTCTACACATATCATAGAACTTGGACTTTAAGATAAGGAGTGCACGAGGTACTAACAAAGAAGTGAAAGCGGCTAAGAAGCAAATGATACAAGAAGAATCCAAGCAAAAAATGGGTATACTTGTCGATTTCGTGAAACATGTATTTGGGACTACAAACGACGGAAACACGGCCAGAAGATTTTTTTAGATATATGAAAAATCTGTGGACATAACCAACATTGACAAACATCTTTTGAAACGTTTTGCAGTTATACTACAAACAATTTCTTCTGGAAGTGCCATCAACATTGAAAAATTTAGGATTTATTGCCGTAAAACAGCAGAACTTTTCGTTCATCTTTATCAATGGTTGCATATACCAGCAAGTGTACACTTCTTGTACATGGTGCATATATTTGTCATCACTTTGGACTTATTCCAATTGGAATTTTCTCTGAAGAAGCTGGTGAAGCAAGAAACAAAGATTTTCAAAGAGTTCGTGAATACATTCACGAACAAGAAAATTTTGCAGAAAGCAAACCAACGAAGACTTGCTTCATACCTTTTTGATAAGTTCGGACCCATACTTATCGCATATTCGACCCAAGTACGAAAGAACAAAGCGATTGGACCTTTTTCCAGAAGCAGTAGAACTTTTTTGCAATTGAATGACGAGTCGTCAGAAAATATTGAGAACATAGATCTACAGGAATTGCAGCCCGACAATAACCCATTATTATGAAAATCCTTTTAGGTATTTTACGAAGTTTGTGTTAGTTTTTTCTCCCTCTCCTCCCCCCCGCTCCCCTGCGATGTCGCCCGCTCGTAGGGTTACTATTTGAAAATT